CTGGTGAAATAAATACAGACTCTAAAGAAAAGGGTAGAAATTTTCTACCTTTAAAGGTAGAAAACTATTTTAAAAGTAATGATTTGCCATACAATTTTCTAACTTAAAGGTATAGTTTTTTACCATAAAAAGAAGAAAATTATATCTATATAAGGATATATCACATATCCTACTTTTATAACTATATTATATTCTCGAATAACTCTTAACTACTGCCACCTCTACCATATTTGTGCAGAATTAAGAATGTCCTGCACAAGGTATCCAAACTGCTGAATTATTCTAAACAATTCTTTTTTAAATTTGCACACCACAGTACCTTCCACTCATTTCTGAGGCATTGTCGTATGGTTTCCTACAACAATTTTTAATATCAATTTCGTGTGATTAAAGTTTACAAAAGGTTTTCAAACATAACATTCGCTGTATATTCTTCATTTGCTATGAGTTTTACAAATTTTTCAACAGGTGATCTCTTTTCCTTTATTTGAGTAATTATTTCCTTTTGCACACAATTAGCACCAACTCTTCACAAATTTTGGATGATCCAAATTCAATAATCAGTATTTAGTTACATATATAATTAGGAAATAAAACTCCATATTTGTTTAGGCTTTATTTTTGAATATGAATATAAACTTATAGGAACTCTGGGATTGGCTATTTCCTTATTATATGCGGGGCCAGGATTTTTGCCCAAAAAAACCTATCGTAATTCTGGGATTGCTAATACGCCTTTCCACCTTCAAACCCAATATCAACATTTTCAAACAATTTTTCACCATAAATTCGTCATTTAAAACATTTAATTCAGTTAGAATAACATGCATTATTGATATATTTATTTTGTTCTAAAAGAGCATGAAAAACCAAACAAATTTTAATTATACTTAAAGTTCTACTCTACAATCATTATATCTGAGTTTATTAGTGTTCAAAAATTTTGACCATGTAAAGTTTGTAACCTCCTCAATTTTGCGAGAAATGAAACTTTAGAGAGTCACAGTTTTGACATCAAGTTTTTACAGTTAAAGCTTGATTTCCAATAGTTGCAAGCTCGTTGTACAATAGTTGTACGATTTTGATGCACAATAACTGCTGGAGAAATTGATTAGTTTATAATTCCGCAACATATTTTCACAGAATAAATTTTGTTGTACAACCAAAGTTAAATTATGAAACTTACGCTAGAAAATATTGCGCAATAAAAACATAGTTGTTGCGTAAATAATTTAAGACATTCCTTCAGCTATTCGAAACCAAGATTAGGAGAATATATAATAAAATTTAAAATTTATTGATGAATATAAACTTAGTTAAGAGCGACTTTCTGTAAGAATGAGCCAAAAACACCAAATTTTTTGAGTGACCTCTTTCAAAATTGCTAATTTTTTAATATATTGTTGCTATTCATACTAGAATCTCAATTCTAAAATTGTTTTAAAAAAAATTAATTGGTTCTCTAGATATTAGATGTCTAAATTTGACTAAATTTTTTAAAATATTGACCAAATTATGTTATAGGCATGTTTAAACTCGAAAAAAAAAACAAAGTAAATACTTTACAATGAGTATTTCACTTGATTATTGTTTATTGGCTAGTTCAGACCAAAAATAATTAATATTGGAAAAGAATTTTTTTTTCTGAATACCATATTTTTTTTTGAACAACTGCCACCCGTTTTTTGAGCCATATAAAGGAAAGTTTGGTTACAAGTTTATGTATTTCTCCTGATATTTCTCGGCTTTTTCATTTTTAACATCATTGTTATTGTCTTCTTCATTAGTCGGAGCAGTCAATTTCCCAATTCTTAATAGTTTACTCCATCTAGAGAACAAAGATCTTATTTGTTGGCTTGAAACTCATCAACTGTAAGACGTTTTCTTACCACTGTGTTTACATCTGCTGGTGACATCTTATTCCTTTTTTTCTCTATTTATGTATTTAAGTATTTATAAAGAAGTTTATTCAGGTTAATGGAAAAACGAAAAGTCTTTCTTGGCAATGCCAAACCTAACTTATGGAACTTTTGAGAATATATGTTGTTTATTGGGGTAGGCGTGATCTTAACCGATGCAGTTATAGAATTAGAATGAACTTGCAAAGAAGTTTTCAACTTTTCAGTATAAACTTTTTTTACTTTATCTAAAAAAGAAGGTTGTTCAGATCTTTTGTGCTGTTCTGTTAGCGTATGCTCTTCTAATTCAATAATAGTTTCAAAAGATTCAATACAACCAGTCTCCTGGCAAAAACATTGTGTATTTAAACCACAATTTCTTTTCTTCTTCTTTCCTTTAGTACTTATGAATGGAAAAAGCAATTCAATTGATGGTTCAACGAAAAGGTTGTTGTAAATTACTTTAACTTCATCTCCAATTTCATAGTATTGCCACAAAGTCATGTAGTTTTCTTGGAACTCATAGGAATAGTAGTTGCTTATATTTGGAATTTTAGGACCAGTTAAATAAACATTCTCAATTTTTACTACCACACCATTTTTTGACGTCATAGCCATATTTCACTGCTTTTGCAATATCTACTGTTGTTACTATGTCATTGCCAGCATATACGTAACTTCTTAGTATTGTTTTAGCGGATGCATCTTTCCTATCATATTGGTCTTTTCCACAGCAAAGGTTTATGAAAGCCGTACTGTAGAAGTTTAAAGTTTTTATTTTTGAAGAGCTTGTACTTAAATTCAACTAAATAGTTAAAATTATCCGATTTTGCAAAAATATTTACTACTTCTGGCTCATCTAGGCGAAACTTATTTAGAACTGATTTCGCAATAGAGATAACAGAGCAAACACCTTGATTGCAGCGATATAAGATTGTTTGATAAACATGCTTTTTGAGAATGTCATTTTTTTAGTAAAAAAAACATCTATATGCATACTTATGCCTTTTTTTCCTAAAGTAGTTCATTTGACCCTCTCTAAACTTTACGGGTAATATCTTCTGTGAATTGTCTTTCAACCAAAATACTGTTTTTTCATATAGCTATTTATATGCATCATTCTTTGCCTTTTTCTGTTGTGCATCATACTTTCTATAATAAATATAATTAATAAGTGTTTCATATATTTTGTGATGCTGCCTATTGATAGTTTAACATCATCACCAACGTTGCATCTACATTTGGTGTAGGAACATGTAAGGTCTACAATTATTCCGTTCAAAACAACAACAAGTGTCATAAGTAATATTTTTTTTAAACATAAAATCTAAATGTTTTTAAAAAAGTAAAAAATCTAACCAACTAAAAATACGCAAAAGAGGTTTATTATAATATAAAAAAATAATTATCAAAATCATATTCAGGAAACATATTCGGAGTCAAAATTTAACTAAAAAGTATGATAGAGTAACAAGGAAACATACTGCATTCAAGCGCTTATAAATAAATATAGAACCACCTAGAAAACATCTATACTACTTATATGTTATTATTTCTGAACTATTGTTTACCCCATAGGTCTTTTTAAATTTTAGTTTTTTTAAATTCAAGTTTAAAGTGAACCCAGGGCTTTAACCATAACCATAAAACCACAATCAATGCGATTATTAGATTAGAATTTCGTTTTTGAGTTGGATTTTGCGGCCTTTACTTTCCTATAGATGTTTTTATACTTTTAGGTACTTAACTTGGTTAAGATTTATTAACTTGGTTAAGATTTATTCGAAGCCACAAATATCCCAAAAAATTTTTTGGGATATTTGTGGCTTCGAATGAAAACGAAGATCAACAATGACAAAAAAAAAAAAAAAAAAATCAATTTTTGCATATTTTGAAGCATGATATTTAGTTTTCTTTACCAATTTTATTAATTTTTAGTTTGAACTAGCCAATAAACAATGATCAAGTGTAATATTGTAAATTAATTACTTTGTTTTATTTTCCAGTTTAAACATGTTTTCAACACCATTTGATCAATATTTCGAAAATATAGTCAAACTTTGACATCTAATATCTAAAGAACCAATTATTATTTTTTGAAAAATTTTTGGAATTAAGCTTCTTATATGAATAGCAACAACATATTAAAATTTAGCAATTTTGAAGAGGGTCACTAATGAGCTCTGTTTGATTATTATAGGAAGTCGCTCTTAAGAATAATAAAAAAACAATAGCAACAAAAGCTATATTTTTTTATTGCTCTGGTAAATATCTTCATTTGACATTAGTATATACATATGTTTATTAGTATGTACATATGTTTAAAGTTAACTTCATATATGGATTATAGCTACCTCAGACACACACAAAAAAACGATTATTTTAGCTCCTATCCAACTTTCAAAACTTGATTGACATTGATAAGTGACTATAAAAGCATAAAAATTAGTTTAAAAGTAAATAACTCAAATTTTGAAACGGCACCTTTTGTCAACGTTTTGTCATTATTATTGGGGCTGGTCTTCGTTTAAAATTTTTCCGTCAGTCTGAATTTGCTGCTTCAAAATTATTGTCGGACAATTGTTTGTGAAACGCACGTGTATTTTAAACAACATAATAATAAAACAAAATAATAAAAAAATAGCATAAAACAACGAAAAGTATTACATAAACTAAAACGATCAAAATACATTATGAACTTAAGCTGAGTGAAAGGTATTGATATAAAATTATTTTAAATCCGTGTCTGGATTTAAAATACTTTTTGTATCAATACCTTTCCTGGATTCTCTCCTACTATGACTGACTATCTTTCTAGAACTGCTATTAAGACTGGCTATAAATTAAACTAAGATTACTACAATAGTACTATGAATACAACAACAACAACAACAACAACAACAACAACAACAACAACAACAACAACAACAACAACAACAACAACAACAACAACAACAACAACAACAACAACAACGACAACAACAACAACAACAACAACAACAACAGCAACAACAACAACAACAATAACAACAACAACAACAGCAACAACAATTACTACTACAAATAATAATAAAAATAATTTTTTTTTTTTTATAAAAAGAAAATACAGAAAAACGAAAGTTGTATTTATTCAACAACCAACAGAGTTCACTAAAGTTCTACAAAATAGCAATATTTGTAAGTACATTATTCTTTTTTTTTTTCTTTTTTTGTTTTGCCAAAAATTCATTTTTAAAATTTAAAACTTCTTTTTAAGGTGTTGATTATATTGAATCAAAATGAATGTCAAGCAGCACAATTTGAATCAAGTAAGAGAAAAATTAATGTGTATTACTTTAGTTTAATATGTATTAGTGTTAAAAAGTTTTAATTTGTTAAAATGCGATTATCTGTAATATCTGTATTTGCCATAGATTATAATATATTTACGTTACATAAGTTTTTTGACATTACATTTCAGATTTTAATGAGTTTCATATGTAAACTTATATTTGTATAAAAAAGCTTATAATTTTATTGTCTAATTCTTTTTGGTTTTATAGATATAAATACTCCTTTTTTTGTTGTTGTTTTTTTTTTTAAAGTTTTATTCATTTATTAAGCAAATTTAATCACAAATTGTGATGGTATTAATAGGACTGTAAAAAAACTAACTTCAATTACTAGTCTTTATAGGACAACTGTATTTTTAAAGCATCTGCAATTTTTTATTTTTGCCAAAATCAAATCATAGATTTTACTAGAAGGTCAAAATGACAATTTAAAACAAAGTAACAAACATTAAAGATACACTACTACAAAGCTTTTACCAGGTACTTGAAGCTATCACAATTTTACTTCTATGTAACACAAAAGTTAAAATTAAAATTGTTTCTGAACAATGTAATATTAGTTTGTTTTTAACTTCAAAATTGATGAGATTATTAAAGATATGAATAATGAATATAAGCCACAGAGATGGTTAAATATTATTACCATTTAATTTTAGTATTTTTAATAATTTCTTAGTTAATGATTGATTTTAATATTTAATATTTTGAGTTTATTATAATAATAAAAAGAAGTATATTGTGAAATGCATAAAAGATACAATTTTTGAACTTTTGTTATTACAAAAGTTCAAGAATTGTATCTTTTATGCATCTCACAAAATATTTCTTTTTTTTATGAGACATCAGAAAACCTATAAACTTGCTCCATCATTTTAAAGTTATATGTTTACATAGACTCTTTAATTTTATTGTGTATTAGTCATTATTAAAAAAATAGTTAGTGGTGGAATTTCAAATTTTGGGTCTCGTTTCCCATCCCTCCCCCACTTTCACAAAATATTTTTTAGGCCCTCACCACAAAGAGGTGTTTTTTTTTACATTTTTGTAATTACTGTTTTTGATCAGTTTGTTATTGTTTTATATTTTATTTCTTTCGATTTTTGGTCAGATGTTACTTTAATACAAGATTCAAATCCTTCAAAAAAATATGGGCCCTCTACATCTCTGGGCCCCCTGCGTTTTGGGATTTTGCGGTATGGTAGTTCCACCACTGAAAATAGTTTTCAATGTACCTCAGTTTCCTATTCAAAAAAAAAAAAAGACTGAATTTTTTTTTTCATTTTAAATTTGGTTACTTACAGATTGTTTGTAAAACATTTTTGCAGTTATATATTTACATTTATGTAATTTTTTTTAGGTTTATATCCCTTCACAGGATATACCAATATGAAAAAAGAAGGAATAGGCAGTGTTTACAATTGGTACAGTTCAATCAATAGCAATGTGTGGATGTTAACTTTTGATGATGAGTATTGCATAGATACTTTGATTGTTGTTTCAGATAATGATACCTTGTTGTTTGAAATAACCTTATTTAGCCATGATCAAAAGATTCAACAGGATGCAGGTCGCAATCTATCTCCTCAAAGAAAGGATATGTTAAATAAAAAATATTATTATGATTATAAATTTACACCAATAAAAGCTAAAAGTATGAAAATTAAACTGGTCGATGTTTTTTTTTATGTGGAAGTATATGTAACAGCACTCCAAAAATCATGTAAGCTTACTTAATTGTTTGTTAAAATTTACGCTATTAAATTATTAATGAGAAAAATGTTCATTTAATAAATTTTTTTTTTTAAATTTGATTAAATAATTTTGTATGTTATTTCAGATTTTTTAGTTTCTTAATTTGAAAATATATATATATATATATATATATATATATATATATATATATATATATATATATATATATATATATATACATATATATATATATATATGTATGTATATATATATATATATATATATATATATATATATATATACATATATAATATATATATATATATATACATATATATATATATATATATATATATATATATATATATATATATATATATATATATATATATATATATATATATATATATATATATATATATATATATCATACATATATACCAGTGTATATGTGTGTGTATGTGTGTGTGTGTGTGTGTGTGTGTGTGTGTGTGTGTGTGTGTGTGTGTGATAAGTGAAACAAAAAATAAATCAAAATAATAGTATAAATTATTTATTTCAGTCCTACTTAACATTTATCAGTCCTACTTAACATTTATTAAGTTATACATATAAATATACAATAATACGTATAATTGTATTTTTTTAAATAGTATTATAATATTACAAGAATTGAATACTATACATATTAATACACATATGTCATGCATGTTGATAGATACCACATATTTATTGAAAATAAGCTTGTGGATATTGTGAATATTATATTAACATATATGATCCATAAGCTTAACTCAACTTACAGGCATGTACATATACATATGTTTGTATATAACATTATATAAATTGAATTTTAACATCAATCCGATTTAAAATTTTAAATTACATATTTATATATAATTTTCTTATAATTTCTTATAAAAAAAAAAACACTTTTTGTTGTGTTAAATTAATTATTTATTAAAGAAATTTAAACAATGTTAATTTAAAACTAAGTTTGCTTGTTATTTTGTTCTTTGGAATTATTAGGTTAAAATCAAAAGTTTGTTTACTTAAACTATTTTATTTATTGTTTACTTTTTTCATGAAATTATATTAACACTCATTATAACCAAATTTTGCACTATAGTATCAAATATGATATCAGATATTATATCAAATATAGTATCAGCTCTATGTCAAAATGTACGAGTGGGCACTACTACTATTAAGTACAGTATTATTATTGTAGATACATATGCAGTACAGTGCAGATTTATGACTTCACTAAAAGTTCAAGATCTTCTTATAAATAAGTGATTGTTTCTAAATTATTTAAATGCTTTGTAACTTACTTGCTTAATTTTTCATTTTTAATACAGTCTAGTTTTATTTTGTCATTAGATTTAGAAAGTTTAAAAAAATGATGGTACAAAATTATAATTTTATTATTTCAATTTTGTTCAAAAATATGTATATATATTATAAAACGTATGGAACATCTTAGCAAGATGTGCCTAAGCACATCTTGCTAAGATGTTCCATATGTTTTCAATTGGGTTTAAACTTGGTGAGAGAAATGGCCTTATTGGTAAGCTATAGGATATTTAGCTTTGCTCTATGAATTAGACCATTATCTTGCTGGAAAATTTGAGTTACCAAATTTTCATGAAATATCATTCAAATAATTCTCCAACAAATGTCTATATCCATCAGCATTTAATTTAGAAGTAATAAAGCTAAATGCACTTCTTATAAAAATAATCATAAGCACCACAATCATTACTCCTCCATCTCCCATAGCTCTTTTTTTTTAAATTTTGTTTTGTGTGTTTCATGCCAGTAAAAATTGAAGCCATCTGAAATGCAAACATAGTCCTGTTTGATAAATGCAATTTATAAAACAGGACTTACAAAATTTATATCATAATAGACTTTAGACAAATAACTTGTCATAAATAAATATACAAATCTGGATAAGTTTGACCAAAAATGTATGATTTGGCAAGCAATTTGTTAATGACAAAAATTGCAAGCCATTTGTAACTGCAAAGATGATATTGCTGAACTCTACAAGAAAGAGAGCTTAAAAAAGCATCTTCTACTTTTCATGTAATCTTTTTAAATGTTCCTGTAAACAAATTTTTAGCCTAATTTAATGAGCTGTTACTATGCTAAAGCAACAATGAAATGGTACGAAGAAAATGCCTTTAAAAGTATACCTAAAGATAATGTTCCACCAAATATTAAAACTGTAAAAATTTTATTTTATTATTTAGAGGGCAAGATGTGTTTAAGAACCAATTTTAAAAAAACTTTTTTTTATGTTAGTAAAAACAATTTTGCTGTATGATGGAGAGGGGGGGGGGGGGTTAAATCAAATTATATTTCTAGTTCTATTTTGGTTTTTTTGTATTCTATCTTTTCAGGATCAAGTTTTAGTTTAAAATTTTGAAATCAACTTTTTTTAAAGGAAATCTTCATAAATATGTTTAAAGGAGTTGAATACATTTTTAATTGTTCATATTTTGCTTTTTACTAAATTTTAAAAATGTAATGACCCTAACTCTGTTTAACTAATGTTGATTCTTAATAACTTTTCTAGTACAATGTAAAATCAATTTAAAATTTAAAAAAAGTGAAACTGTTAAAGTTGTTGTATCGGAATCAATGGTGTTTTAAAAAGTTCAAAATTCTCTTAGTAACATGTCTACAATTTAGCCTAGCAACCTAATTCTCATCAGCACAATTTTGATTACCAAGATTTCTTATGTTTAAAACTTTTTAGAGCATATTTTTAAAACTTTCAATTTAAGTTAAATTTAAATGTTGTTAAACAATTTCTTAGTCTAAATAGATGTTGTTAATATTTGTTGTTTATGTTTAGCCTATTTCTTACAAAGTAATGAATTTCTTATGTTTAAAACTTTTTAGAGCATATTTTTAAAACTTTCAGTTTAAGTTAAATTTAAATGTTGTTAAACAATTTCTTAGTCTAAATAGATGTTGTTAATATTTGTTGTTTATGTTTAGCCTATTTCTTACAAAGTAATGAAAGTCAATATCAGATTTCTGAAGCTTCTTATTACTCATCTGGTCAAAGTTTTACATTAAAACAACTTCAAAGTTTACTGAATACTTCAAGTAGATCCTATTTAACGATAAGGCCACAAACAACTGTGTTTGATATATCTCCTATTGCATGGTTTACAGTAAAATTAAAGAAGGTTCAGTTAGTACATCAATTTATAATTGCTTCTGGTAATGATATGAATTCAGTTGGAAAGGTTAAAGTGTACTTTCGTTTAAATTATGACAGAGACTTCACTGAGTATACTGAAAACAATATAACAAAGGTTTGTATAATGTATAGGTCTGTTTTTTCTGTTAAAACAAACAAAAAAATAAAACCAAAGAAATTTGATTTTATGGAATGATCGTTTATATCTAATATATTATTTTTTTAGATCTTCATTAACAATTATGTTCCATTACAATGGTTTTGCCATAACTTAAAAAGTCCTTTTATGGCTTCTGAAATCCAAGTCCTTCTGGATTCAGAAAATCCTTTAATGTATTTTACTATGGACTTCAGGTTTATTGAATCTATGGAGTACAAATATGGTAAGTGTTTTGTATTCAACAGTGTACTTTAGATTAGATTTTTAAAAGTTAGAAAAGAAAATTAAAAAATGTAAAAAACTTTTGTCTCTAATAAAAACTTGTAGAAAAAGATTTTTCTATCCAGTATTTTACTGCCTGTCCAATCTAAAACCCTCAGTTGTATACACTTACTCTTCCTTAAGCTAAATCAATTGGTAAATATATTTGTAGTAGTGATAATAATTTTAGCAGTCAATTTGCATTTACATTTGTAAGAATTTACTTATTTGTTAGAAAACTAGGTTTGAATCTACAGACTTTTCTTTTTTGTGCTTTCATTTAGCACCACTTCACTCTATTATCTTTGTTCTATATAACTCTACTTAAAGAATGCACTCTTTTTAATGTTATTTCTGATCAAATTGACCAAATCCTCCTTCAAACAATGTCATTGTTTTTGGTGGCTTTAATGCTCCTCAAATTAAATAGCTTACCTCTAGTGTCAGTGACACTGCAGGCATTAAGGCCCACAACTTTTGCCTTTCTCAATCTCTAACTCAAATAATCAATTTTCCAACTTGCTTTCCAAACAACTCAAATCATTTACCTTCTCTACTTGACTTATGTATTTTTTCTGATCCTAGTCAGTGCTTAGTTTCTCCACATTCACCCTTAGGTGCTTCTGATCACGGTTTAATCTCTTTAAAACTATTATCTCATTATTCTTCATCATCAGAATCCCCCTATCATTTTACTCTTACAACTACCTTAAAGCTGACTGGGACTCTTTCCGTGATTTTCTTTGTGATGGCCCTTGGGTAAAAATCTTTCTCTTTCTTCTGACCAATGTGGTTCTTACATTATGTCTTTGACTCAGGCTGGCATGGAATCTTTATTCCCTCTTGATAAAGTCAGGCCTCACTCTTCTCTATGGTTTTCCTCTAATTGTGTTGCTGCAATTTCTAATCGTAACATCTGTTTACTATTGCTAAAAACTGTAATTGTAAAAAGCTTTTTTCTACTGCCAAAGCCTGCTATTCTCTGGTCACAAAACCCCCTTATTTCATCTCAAAAATTAAACTCTTGTAACTTCTGGAGAATCTTTAACAGAGTCTTTTTAAGGGCAAATCTGGTAACATCTTGAAGACAATCGAATTCTTTCTTACCAATTGTAGTATAAAAGTTGTCCTCGACAAAACTCTTTTTCCATTTAAACATTTCTTGTAACTTCAGGGGTTTCTCAAGGTTCTACCTTTGGCCCTATACTTTTTTTAATTTAAAATAACTCTCCCTAAAATTCTCACATTTAAGGTGGCATTGTTTGCTGATGAATCATCAGTAATGATACTACTATTTATTTTTGTCTTGATAAGAAACCAACACTCTCTGATTTTTTGGAGGGGTTATTTGAGCTTGAATAGGATCTCACTTCTGCTTCAGCATGAGGCTCTCAGTTCCTGGTGGACTTAAACTCATTTAAACTCAATTTTTTTTCACTAATCGTTATCACAACAATCTAGATCTTCCTATATTTAACGATAATATACTTGCTGAGTCATCTATCCTTCTTCTAAGATTAATTCTTCCAATCTTTAAACTATATATCAAATCCTGTGCAAAATTAGCATCTGCTAAGGTTGAATCTCTGGCACAGCTCTAAAAAGCTAGCGCCTCTTGTGTCATCTACTAAAATTCATTCTTGTGTTATTCATTATTTGATTAAGTCTCATTCTTTTACTATGACTGTTCCAAAGCGCTCCAAAAATTATTTTTTGACTAGTTTTTTTTCCTTGGGATTTAATCCCACTAGGTCTCTGTTTGTATCCTGTATTACTTCAAGGCTCTTACAAAATGCTTATGGCTACAGAAAGTTAGAAAAAATAAATGTGTTGCTGATCATTATAAAACTGGAAAATTTAGATATAAATTTCAAAAGTAGAAGTAAAAAATATATATTGTATTCTTTACTGAAAAATTTCAAGCATTTTCACAATATTTTTTTCATAGTAGAAATGAAGAAGAATAAAATTTCTATCGTTCAAAAAAACAACAAAGAATAATGAAAAAAAAAAAAAAGATTGCTGCACCATCCCAAACCCTCAGTGTATGTAGCAGCACTTCTTAGCATCAGACATGTTATCTAAAAATGCATTTATGTATATATATATATATATATATATATATATATATATATATATATATATATATATATATATATATATATATATATATATATATATATAGTATATATATATATATATATATATATATATATGTATATATATATATATATATATATATATATATATATATATATATATATATATATATATATATATATATATATATATATATATATATAATCATTTTATTTTGTAGAAAAACCAGTCATTGGCTTGTTTAATATTTTGGCTGAAGATATTATAAGAATAAAGTTTAACAAATCTTTTTTTATATCTGGAATTATGTTTGATAGCATAAATAACTTATTAAAATTTTGCATTTCCTATGATGTAAACAATGAGTTTGTTCCATACAGTGACAACAAACTATTTGATGAGAAAGTTGTAAGTACATTTTTCAAATAAAAGTTTTTTTAATCTTGCTAAATGTGTACATGTGCTTTATATGAGCTTATTTGAATACAGGTTGTTTTTTTTTTAACATCTTCACTTCCAACAAAACTGCAAGCAACCATTGTTAATGTTGGAAATTGCTGGAAGAGAAAAGATGAAGTTTATAGAGCGAGATAACGATTGACAGACAACTTTAAAGATTGCAAATTTTATGAATCAGGAAGGAAAAATAAAGGAAACGAATTCCGAAGAATTGATGTTCAAGGAAAAAAAACTAGATTAATAAGAGTTTTTGGAGCACTTAGGAACAGTAACAGAAAAAAGATGAGGCTTAATTGAATGACGAGTAACACAAGAATGAATTTTAGTAGATGATAAAAAAGATGCAAGCTCTTTAGAGCAGTGCCCATTACGATATTTGTAGAAAAGAGAAAAAGAGGCAACACTATGACCTTGTGATAATGGTTGGAGGTTGGCTGCATGAGCAGGTCCAAATATGTTTATAATGAGTTTTTGCACCTTGTCTAAAAGAAAATAGACTTTTTTTGGAGATCCGCCCCAGATATAGGGCTATACAGTATTTCATAAAAACACAGATTTGTGATTTATAGAGATAAAGAATAGAATCCGGAGTAAGAAAGTGTCTTGAGTTTCCAAGGGTTTGATATTCCTGCTACAAAATAAGATGTTTCTGCTACAAAATATAAAATTCCTGCTACAAAACATGATATTCCTGCTACAAAATATTAGCATCAGCTAAGGTTGCATCTCCAATGTAGAAAGATCTAAATAATTGCAATAGCAATTGCCTGAAATATATTGAGTTTTATACGAATTAAAGTTCGCCAGCCACTGTGAGCCCCATGCTGTAGCAGAAGCGAGATCCTTTTCAAGTTCAAATGCCCTCTCCAAGCAACCAGAGAATGTTGCCTACTTATCAAGACAAGAATAAATGGTAGTATCATTAGCGAACAATGCCACCTTAGATGAGAACATCTGGAAGATCATTAGTGTAAATTAAAAAGAATATAGAGCCAAGGATAGAACCTTGAGAAACCCTTGAAGAGACAGGATATGAAGAAGAGTGCTGGTCAATCAAGGACAACTTTTATACTACAATTGGAAAGGAAAGATTCAACAATCTTGAAGATTTACTTGATACACCATAATAAGAAAGATTATGGAAAAGACCAGCATACCAAACTTTATCAAAAGCCTTAGAAATGTCAAGAGTGATAGCTTTAACCTGTCTAATCCACAATAAAACCTATTAATTATTACTGTTAGTAAATTAGGTGTCGAACGAGAAGATCAAAGTCCATATTGATGATTAGAAAGTAAATTATTAAGTTCAAGATAAGAGATTAAGTGTTTGTTAATTAAAGAATCATAATAGATGCCGCTTTCTAGCATGTTTGAAAACAAGAATCTGGTAAGCATTTGTTAAATAGGTTTAAAAGTATAGGCAACAGCTCCATAGAACACTTCTGCAAGACTATAGCAAGTATGTTGTCTGGACCATAAACTGTAGATAAGGCTAATCAGGAAATCACTTTAGATATAGAAGCTGGAGTGATACGAAAGTTAAGCAATGGATCAAACTGTTTGTTACCTATATCAGGTAGAACGCAACTAGTGGAATCAAGAGATGATGAAAACTTCTTAGCAAACAATTCAGCTTTGTCTTTAGGTGAGGTGACAAAGTATGAACTATACAAGAGAGGTGGAGTAACAGATTTGTCCTTATTATAGACACTGTTAAAGATTCTCCAGATGTCACAAGTGCCTAATTTTTGAGATAAATACAAGATTTCATGACCTAAAAATTACAGGCTTTAGTGTTAGACAAAATATTTTTACAATTTTTTCTAGCAATAGTAAAGAGACGTCAGTTTTCTGGAGAATTGTTTTGCTGGTAGATATGGGAGTTATGGTTTTGATTGTAAATTGCAGCATAACAATGTGAGGAAAACCATTGAGAAGAGTGAGGCTTGACTTGGAGTTGTCAAGAGGGAAAAAAACATTTCATGCCAGTCTGGATCTAAGAGTTATGTAAGAAGCACATTTTTCAGCATAACCACAAAAGATTTCTACCCAAAAGGCCATCACGAAGAAAATCATGGAGAGAGTCCCAGTCAGCTTTAAGGTAGTTGTAAGAGATATGATGATAAGGGGATTCTGATGTTGAAGAAGAATGAGATAATAGTTTTAGAGAGATCAAACCGCGATCAGAAGTTCCTAAGGGTGAAGTTAGAGAAACTGAGCACTGACTAGGATCAGAAACAATACATAAGTCAAGTAGAGAAGGTAAATGATTTGGGTTGTCTGGAAAGCGAGTCAGAAAGTTGATTATTTGAGTTAGAGATTGAGAAAGGCAAAAGTTGTGGGCCTTAATACCTGCAGAGTCACTGACACTAGAGCCAAGCTATTTAATGTGATGAACATTAAAGTCTCCAACAACAACAATATTGGTCGATGGATAAAGAGAGGGGGTTTGTTCAATTTGATCTGAAATAAAATAAAAAAAGAGTGCAGTCTTGAGATAAAGGAGAACAATTGAATAAAGAGAAAGGTGATAGAGTGAAGTGGTGCTAAACAAAAGCACATAAAAGAATCGTGGATGGATTCAAATCTAGTTTTCCAACAAATATAAATGCCCAGGCTAAGCATGTGACTATCAGAATCTTTATGAAAAGGAAGATAACCATCAACACAAAGATCACAAAATGAGACTGTTAAACTTAAATTAGTCTTACAAAGAGCAAGTAGGTCTGGTGAACTTTGCAAGAAATAAGACTTAGTAAAAGAAAAGTTACTTCGAAGACCAGAAATATAAGTAAATGAAAGGTTTAAAGAACTTGGTGATGACATAGGTTTTTTGTGTATTATAGTTTTTGATACATTATTCATTTTTAAATTTGTTAAAGAACTTGAATGGAAGCATAGATAGTGCTCAGTACACTATTTAATAGTCTAATCAATTGCCTCAATATTATTAATAAATCCTAAGATGTAACAAAGGGCTCCAAAAATGGCATCAACTATGGACACCTAAAGAGTGAACAGGGACACCATCAATGCGCAACATGGCACTGTTAGTAATCTGATATTTTACAGCTGTTGATGGAATCAGTCTCTCTGAAAGCTACCACAGAGTTCGGGTAACCTGACTACCAGCCAGCCTCAGAACTATAAAACAGAGTTTTAGAGCTGTATTCTAAACATTCGTCAATATAATGAGTTGCCTAGTCATAAAAGCAAAGACACCACAAAACCCATGCATTGAGTCAAGAATATCCAGCATTCAACATCCTTAACTGGAAACAATGTTTTGTAAATACATCTACACCAGCCTAATAGATGAGGAAGTGCTGCAAGGCTGATTAAAAGGTAGAATTTGTTTAACCCTAAAGTCTTTGCCTAGTAGGATTTCTACAAGACAGTAGGCCGATATGTTTAACATCTGCCAAAGATGAGTTTTTTTTATCAAGACACCATCTCTAGCGTTTACTTAACCAAGAGCCCCATGGCAGGGGGAGTTTTAAGTCAAAGTTGGCTTCTTCTAGCCTTTGCTTATAAAAGCCTAGCAGGACATGAAGCAGGTTGTACTGGTTTACATGTTATCAGTAGTAGGATAACCTTATCTGACTTTTTTTTGCGTTTTCTATAGCAATTTATATTTTTTAATTTAAATTTGCATTCTTTGAATTTTTATTAAATATGAACTCTTTTAGATCATATTTAATTTACTTAATTTATGCACTTTTTTGATGATTAATAAGTCTGAAAATCTGAATGTTAGGTATGGGTATGGTCAAATTTATAAAAAGCAGACATAATTAAATAAAATTATATTTTATGTAAAAATATTTTAAGAAATGCTTTTGTTTAGGTTTAGTATTATATATTACAGATTATTTTAGATTAAAATTTTAATTTTTTTTCTATTTTGTTTTAGAAGTTTAAAGTGTTTAGTGAAATTAGCTTTCGTCCATTTCGAACAACAGAAATTTTATTATCCGAATTAGAATGGTTTATGACTAGTTCACGTAAAATAACAGTCACTGTTAATGGAGACAATTATCTGTCAGGTAATTTTTCTGTGTAATAATTTAGATAAAAATTTTAACTTATTTAGTGTAATGCAAAAAGTTTTGTCTTTTAATTAACCATTAAAATCAAGTTGGTTTTTATATTCTCCAAAATAGTTTTATTTTTCTGACTGCTTGCTGATTTGCACATTTTTAATTATATTGCAAAACTCCACTTAAAATATTTAATTACATATTTTTTAATTATAATTGGTTACTGTTCTTTAATTATAATTGGTTACTGTTCTTTAATTATAATTGGTTACTGTTCTTTAATTATAATTGGTTACTTTTCTTTAATGATTCTTTCAGTATTTTTTAGTGGTTACTTAAATTTTCAGCAGCAAGTGTTACAAGTGTTATTTTCTAAATTTATCTAAATTATCTTCTCAATCATTTAAATTATCTAAAAGTTCACAAACCTTTTTAACAAAATAGACAATTTAGAAGATTAGTGTAGCCTCTATACTATCAAATATGATATTCCTGCTACAAAGTATGATATTTCTGCTACAAAATATGATATTTCTGCTACAAAATATGATATTCCTACTACAAAATATGATATTTGAAAAGTATTTTTTCAGTAATTTTCATTTTTAATGTGAAACCTTTGGTTACATTTATTGCATTGATCTTATAATACAAACGCTTTAATATACTAAAAACTCTTTTTTTTGGTCCAAAACTTAAATCCTTTTAAATTGTTAAAAAATTATCTTTTTTTTAACATATATTTATATATGTTAAATAAAAGATAATTTAAAAAAAAAAAAAAGTTAAAAATTTTTTAAAAAGTTAAATCTGTTTTTATAGATTAAATTTAATCTTGAATTTTTTTTTAACATTTTTGTTTTTATAATAATTTTAAATTACTTTACCTTATAGTAATTAGCAAAGTTTTTTTGAAAATCAAAATTTATATTTGATTTGTCTTAGAAAAGCATAATATAAAATTTAATGCATTTTTATTAAAATGCATCATCATCATCATCAAATGAGTCAATTCAGAGGAACTAAAAGAGTTGAATCAAAATTAATCCAAACTTGATGCAGTAATGTAATGAATCAGTTAATTTTGGAATAAATAGATTAGACAGATAAAAACTGTTTTTTATTTTGGAATAAATTGATTGGACAGATAAAAACTGTATTTTATTGTATCATCATAAAAGTACACAAGTCTATCATTTAAAGTTTAAGAGCTCTTTTTATAATAGTTTTTTGTCTTGTTCAATTTTAGCTGAAATGTTAGATATCTATACTATATATTTTTGCATTATCTAAAAATAAAATAAAAAACAGACAAAAAATGAAGAAATTTTTTTTTTAGATTACCTTCTAGATATTTTTATTTTATTATTATTTTTTTTTTACATTACATTTTACATATTTTTATTATTTTAATTTTAGCTGATTACACTTGGACAAACTTAAATTTCATTTCTTATAATGCATATGATGAGTACACTAACACCAAAGGTAGTCAAACGTTGTATGGAAATTCAAAATATTTACAAAAAAGTAATCTTAGAAGTAAATTGATGAGTGATTATTTGGGACCAGACTGCTTCACTCAACCTCACTTATGTGTCAGTGGATTTACTATTCAGTTAGAAGTTGGTATGAAATTTGAATATTTTAAACTTTTTTATTTGAAACTTAATAAAGAGTTTATAAAAAAATTTTAGGAAAAAAAACATTAAAAAAAAAACAAATAAGTTAAAAGTATATAGATAATAATAATAATTAATTTAAGTTAATTATAAATTTTCAACTGTAACTAATGATAAATGTTTTTAAAGTGATTCATTGTCATAATTTACCAAAAATATTATTAAGATGGTGTTAAGTGCTTTGTCAAGGAAAAAAGCACTGTTTTATATTTATTCAATAATACTTTTCTGATTTTTGAGCTTGCTAAAGCCTATAAGCTTGGAAATTTTCAAATGCTTTTTTTTCAGGAGGACTTTCTGAAGTAAGAACAGGAACACTATATATCAAGTTCCTAATGGCGTAAGATCTGTAGACTTGTTGAAGGTTGGGATTAGTGTGTCTTAATTGCTAAAGGTGTTTAGTAGATATGGTACTGTTTTTATATTTTTGTGCACTTTTGTTCATTTTGTAGATATTTCTTGTTAATGTTCTAGTATGTTTCTTGCAATTAATGCAATCTTTTATAAAATGCTAGAATTGATTCTTTTTTGTAAGTATTTTGTTTAAAAAGTATTTATTTTGACTCACATATTTTTCAATTTTTTGGCATCATCGCTTAAATAATTTATTATGAACTGAAAAAGAATAGAGGCTCTATAAAAATAATAAAATAAAAAGTGATTTTATCTGCACCATTTTTAGCAATATTTCAGCAAAACTTGAGAACAAGTTATTATAAAAAGATAAAAAAGTTAATTTTCATCAAAAATCATACAAAGTCATAGTAATGTTTGGCAGGCTCAGGATTTATTAATACCAATGGAAATAACTTCAAAGTTTATTTCTTTGCTCACTTTGAGTCGTCTCTTTTTAATAGAAATTTTTGGAGAACCTAATTAAGATGTTTGCTGTGAAGTTTGTTTGAAAGTTTTAAATATATTTTATAGAATGTTAAATATATATATATATAAAGTTATATAAGTTTATAACTTCAATACTTATTATTATTTTATCACATTTTTGATAGGATTTGGATATCCAAAAAAGAAATAAAGTCATTTATAAATATTTTTTGTACGTTTTGTATGAAACATGCAGACCTGAATACAGGTCATTAAACATTGTATACTTTTTATTTATGTTTAATTTGTCTATCAAATAGATGCGTTAACTTTTCCTAACTATTAGTACGATTGTTGTCTTCCTCTGGTTGAAATGTGGTTTTGTGTTCTTTTAACCACATCATCACTAAGTCTATGAGGTCTATTACTTTACTGTTTTTTTTTATCTTTCAGTGGTCCCCAAAGTTAAATTAAAAAACGTTAAATTTTTATGGTATGTATCAAGTTTTTACATACTCTCTGCTTCTTTAGGTTGGAATAGTCCAAACATATTTTGCAGACTTCAACTTTTAAAATTTAAATTTTAATGCAAACAAAAAAATGAAAAGAATCTGACAATATGAACATGATAAATACATTAATGAATGCAGTATACTTATATAATAAATATTTAAAATATTTATCAAGCAACAGTAATGCTACATTTTTTTTCCTGAAAAAACTTGTTTTCTTTTATTTATATTAAAACTATATCAGTAAAGTGCACACCATTTTTTTTTTTTTTTTTCAAGTTTAAAAAAAAAATCAAAACTTTTAAATTAACTATTGTTTTGTGCCTGTTATTAATGATATTATTGATATACAAAAAAAAAATTTTTTTTGCTTTTTTTTAAAATAAGTTAAATAAAATTTGAAGTTTAAGTAATTAAAAAATTTATTTAGATGAGTTGTTATCGGAAGACTTAGTCAAAACTTTTTACTTGTCAGATCAGTTGGTTGACAAAAATTCTGATTCTGGAAAAATGTTTCTTTTCTTCAATGACTTCTACTTACCATCAAATGCAAGAGTAAAAGATTTTTATTTAAAGATTGGGACAATCAAGTTCACTGAGAACTTTAAAGCTAGAATCTATTTAATTTTTGTTCCTGAAGATGAAATATTAAATGGTATAAAAAAGCTATTATACGAAAATAAAATTAATCAAATTACTAATGACTCTGAAGTTTTTATGTTCAATGGTCCTTTTGGGACAACTCAGTTATTCAATCTTACTTTTTTACTGAAAAAATTACAAGCACAATATAATGGTTTGCTGAAACGGCTATGCATCATGGTTCTCCCACAAAATCAAACATTTACAAATAATCCTGATGATGTTAAGTTACTGATTACATATTCGAACACTGGTTTGTACTAATTTTTTCTCAGATTTTTTATGTTTTATTAAGTGTAGTATTAATATTAAAACAAAATTCCATTATAACAAAGTTTTTCCATTTCCATTATAAAAAAATTTTTCATGTGTTATTTTTTTTTTCATATATAAGTATGAGCTATTTTTTTTCTTCAAAAATTTAAAAAGAAAAAAGTTATTTGGCAGTGTGTATATATATATGCATTCATTAAATGTTTATATTTTTGAAATACAATCTGACATTGTTCGAAAAATCTTATAATGTCATATGTTCAAAATGTCAATACAAAAGGTAATAAAGAAAATGTCTATACAAAAAAAAATAGGATGATTCCAATTATTATTTTAATTTTTTTATTTTTTACAATTAGTTATTGGAGATGTTCGAATATTGAATCCCTTAATGGAAAATAAATTCTTTGATTTGTTTAACAATATTATTAATGTTTACTTTGATCAAACTTACTGTTTTACTGGAATTCATTTGCATACCAAATCACCTGTAGATGTAGATATATTCTTACAAGTTAAATACTCTGATACCATATGCTCTTTTATAAATTGTACTCTTTATATTACATTAAAAAAAGTAAGTTTATTATATTATTTATTGTTATAATTGTTTTGTTTCATTTTCAGTCTATTGTTTACCGATTTTCTTTATTAACTAGAATTGAATCGAAAATAAGTTTTTTATTTATCAAGATCACAGAACTTCAAAAATTTTACTAAAAATCTTACTATTCATTAGGCCTAGTTTATTTATCATACCACCAAGGTCACAGAAACAGATAAATTTATTTATCATACCACCAAGGTCACAGAGACAGATAAATTTATTTATCATAAGACAGATAATCATATCTATCATAACACCAAGGTCACAGAGACAGGTAAACTTAATTGACTGTGACTGTTAATTTGTGCTTTTGTGCTAATTCAATACAAAGTGTTTCTAATTCTATCATAAATATTAAAATGCATTAGTATAAATTGTTCATTTTTATTTGTCATTATTTTGTAATACTTTAATTATTAGTTTCAATGCTTTTCACAACTTTCTTCATTTTTAATTTCTTGATTAATTTTCAAATGAAAATTTGGATTAATTTTCAAAAGACAACAACAATTATTTAACATATTAGTCATTTTTTTAAATTTGTGTTTAAGAAACTTTTTTATTAATTTAATTCAAAATGGTAATATTTACACTAAAAAATATCTTTCTTTTTAGTAGCATTTTGGTAGTATTTTGAACCAAAGTTTAGCAGAAACTAAAATCTCAGTTTGGGTGCTCCATAACCTGAATTTCTGTTTTTATTTATTCCTATTTTTTAAAATGATTTAATTGCACTATTAAGGGTAAAATGTATAATAAACATACAATTTAATTTTTTGCTAAAACTATTAAAATATTTTCAAAATCTTACATTGACATTAGAAGCCATATTGATTATCTTGCTTTGATCAATAAGAAATACACAAAACAGTGTTTCAAATAAAGCAGTTACATGGAAGAGTTCTATGGAAGAAGAAAAATATATTTTTGTTTAGAGCAAAGAAATCTACGAAAGTCTCCAAAAGATATTCACCTTTGAATTACTAATTGTTGTTCCTGGTATACATTCTCTAACAACTCTAAAAATATTGAGAGGACTTTTAGTCTTCGAACCAATTATTTAAGAGTTATTTTCTGCCATTTTAAATGTGGAATCCAGTTTAAAATTAATGGTTTCTGTATCCTGAAGATCATTGATTTAAATATAAAGTTTTTGTTACTTTATATATAAATAAATATATTTATGTTTTTAAATATGTCATTTTAAATTTAATTTAATTTTATACACTCAAAACATCTATTAATTAAGGTGTTTTGTTGGTAAAAAAATATTGTTCTTAAGGCTGTATATTTAATGCTAAAAATTTATGTATTTGATTAATTTGTATAAATAAAAAAAAATGATATACATTTTAAACATAAACATTTCATTATCTTCTTGATCAAATAGATGTAGAGTTTTAGTTCTCTTAACCAAATTTTTCAACTATGTACAAACTATATTCTGAGTTCATTAAACTTAAAAAGTTATTGTTTTTTTAAAATTAAATCGGAATTTCAAGAGTATAAAAATGATGAAAACAGGAAAAGTTTTATGAAATTTCAAAAGTCAAAAAAAATTGATTATGTAAATATTAAGTTGAAGTTACTGTTGGTATTTTAAGTTACTGTTGATATTTTTATTATTTCAGATATAATTAACTTCTTTATTTACAATTATGATGTTAGTGTCAATTATCAAGGGGTTTATCTTTTTTTCATATAAATATTTATAAACAATAAGCTGGTCTTTCTTTAACTTATCCGTAATAGTTTATATCAATCACATTCAAAAATTAAGTGATAAAATAAAGTCTTGGATTATTTCAAACATATACAAGTGTTTTGAGTTTTTATTCTACTAATAGATGCAAATTCCGAAAACTAAATAGAACTATGATTTTAAAAAAATCATTAAATGCAATTAGTTGTTTCATTAAAAACCTATTAATGTTTTTCTTCACAAAATTTGTTTTAAATTATTTATAATTAATTTTTATGTGTTAAATGGAACTGCTGTAATGGAAAAACAGCACATCTAATAAAAATATAAGGAGAGATACATATTTATAAATATCTCTCTGCTAATAAAAAATATTTTCTGAGTTTAATGATGCATGTGTTTAATTTTTATTTTTGATTTTAATAATCAAAACACAACAAAAATCAGTTATCATGTAATTATTTTTTTAAAAGTAAATTTACAAAAAATAACTAAATAGCTTTTTTCCCATGGACATATCAATTTGTTTCATTAAATGTTTATTAATTATAAATTGATTCATTTTTTTACAAAAATAAAAAAAGTTGCACAGTAAAATAAAATGTGGCAATATTTTTTTTAGGTTTTCATAAAAGGTGGTGAAAATAAATATGTTGCATTGAATGGATTGATAAAAACAAAACACTTTAGAATTATTTTATCAAAGGAAGTTGTTCTTCATTATCAATTTTATGGGAGTGAAAGTATTATTTTTTATTTCTTTTAATAAAAAAAATTATAAAAATTAAATTTTATTGTTTTTGTTAAAGAAGTTTTAATTTTTACTATAAAAAGAGTGAAAGTACAAAAACACACATTTGATTAAAGTATAAAGTGTTTTTGTATTTAAGTTTTCACCCTTTTTATCTAAAGGATCTACTTTTTTAGACGGGTCTTTTAAATCTTTTAAAGTATTTTAAATCTTTGTTTAAGGATATGATTAGCATCAAAATTTAAAGATATCAAACAACAAAAAAATTTCGATTTTTTTAAATTGAATTAATGTTTAGTTCAAGGCTTTTTATCTCACAATAAATAAAACATTGAAAAGATAAACCATATTAAATAAAATTTAACTTGTACTTTTTTTTTTTTTTGATTGAAATCATTAAATAACTAGAAATATTAGAAAACATAATATATCAGGGAAATAAGCTAAATGTATAAAACACAGGTATTTTATAGACAAAAATGTTTAAACAAAGTTTTAGAAAAAAGTCAACTAAAAATGTAGTTTTATATAATATACAGTTAAAGCAAATATTTTGTTTTATATATAAAGCTTCAACAGTCAAGCCATTTTTCTATTGTTTTTAGTTGTAAAAAGTTCAGAAAAACAAAACTAGACAAAGTGTAGAGAAAAAAAGAGTAAAAACTTAAATGATTGAAAAAGTAAACACGCAATTTTATGTTTTTTTTAATGTTAAAACTAAACTTAGTTAAATTATGGTGATAACAGTGTCAAGTATTAAACACTGATAGCAAACACACAGTCTAGTGTTAAATATGCATATTTAGCACAGACTAACAAAAAGGAAAGAAAATGTTAAGTTTTTTTATAAAGTAATGCCATACAGCATACAAGATGTTCTAATAAATGAGTTAGGGTGTAACAAATTATTGTAAAAAATTATTTACTTTGTTACAATACTTTGTTACTTTTTGCATTACTTCTACATTTAAAGAGTTACATTTACAATGCATTACTTTTACTTTCATCACTTTTCAGGCTTACTTTTTTGCATTGTAACAAGTTAATTTCATAAAATAAGTACAAAAGTACTTTAATTTTATTGGTTAGGATCAGTTGTATAAAAAAACACAGTATCACAAAACTGACAAAACAACAATGCATTGAACAGGCAAGACATGCAACCTAAACACATAACACAATGAGCAACATGACTATTTGTTTGAAAAACTATTTAAAAACATTAATAAAAACGAAAAAGCAGCTTGACTGTTTGTATATTTTTCACGCTCCAAACAATAATAAAATGTTTTTTCTCTTTACTGAATAAAATTCTTTTTTTGCAGATTTTTTTATAAATTTATATCGTACCTTATGATATAAATATCATGCCTTATGATATAAATGTTTATATCATACAATAATCCACAAATATTAATATTAACAACCTTTAAAACATATTAAAAATAGTTGTAAACTAAAAACCATTGAATTGCTAACCACATAGTCATCAGAAAATGTTCTTGAGTTCCCTACAAATTTTTTCTTGAATTACATTTGACATATAATTCAAGAAAAAAAAGGTTGCCATTTTGATATAATCAAAATGGCAACCTTTAGTGAAAAAAAATTGAATTTAAAAATTAAATTTAAATCTTCTTTTGTACATAATTAAAATCTTAAATGTAATACTTAAATGCGTTAAAAAGACTTTGTAAATTTGTTTACTTGTTATCTGTGTCAAAGTCTAAACAGGTCTCTTACTAAACCTAATTTAACATGCCATTTGATAAATTCAATAGCTACTTATTTAATATGCCACTTGATAAGTTCAATAGCTACTTACTTAACATGCCACTTGATAAGTTCAATAGCTACCTTTTTAACATGCCACTTGATAAATTTGTTAAATACTTATTTAACATGCCACTTGATAAGTTCAATAGCTACTTATTTAACATGCCACTTGATAAATTCAATAGCTACTTATTTAACATGCCACTTGATAAGTTCAATAGCTACTTATTTAACATGCCACTTGATAAGTTCAATAGCTACTTATTTAACATGCCACTTGATAAGTTCAATAGTTACTTATTTAAATTGTCACTTGATAAATTATAACAGCTACTTATTTAACATGTCACTTTTGATGTCAATAGTCAGCAACTGCTGACTATGATGCAGTCATCTAAAAGATTAGTTGACTAACATTTGAAAAAGGTCAGGCATTATGGAAAAAGCAGTCATGAAGTAGTAAATCTACAGAAGATGTTAATGAATCATTTAGACTGCAGTTTGTTGTTTCTAATCAGACAAAGTAGAATTCAATGTCTATAGAAAACATGAACATGCTGATTACTGATAAAGGAATCAATGTGATGAACAACGTTTGTGACAAGCATGATTTGCATAATTTGCTACAGTTTCGATGAGCTTGATAGCATTTTTATCTATACATGAATCATCACTACATCATGAATGCAGAATTAAGAGGAGCAGAAATTATTCATCCAAAATTTTAAACAGTTTGGGTCAATGACTTTGAAAAAAAAAGAATTGTTTTCGAATTCCTGGAGAACAAGATTTGGCAGTAGTAGTTGGATAAAAACAGTGACAGTGCAAGTGCAAATTTCTGTAATTGAAGATGGTTTCTTTCAATTTACATCTTTAGATGACACTAGTACTGCTGCTGATAACATTGTTACTACATACATTATTAGAATTCTTCACTTGATACTTTAATGGCTCTCTACATGAAGAATGTCTTTCTTAAACTGAACACTGCTTTGCCAAAAAATGCAGTCTGTGAATGTTTATTTAGTATAGTAGGGCAAGTGTTCATGTCAAACCACACAAAAATGACAGATGAACAATTTGAACAGCAGCTTCTAATGTGCATCAATGGAACACTTATAATTTTAAAACAATTATAAACTTGCCAGTCTGTTCTAGTAAACATATTTATATTGATGAATTGAATATATGTTAAGTTTCATTCCATAATGATTCAAAAACTTATTTCTTCTATGTTTATGTTAATTTTACTTTTTACTTTGTAACTAAAATGTTCTTTCGACATACTGTACTTTTTTACTTTTACTTAAGTTATTTAGTTTAGTTTAGTACTTTTTCATTTCACTTTGTTACTTTTAAAGCAGATGCATTAACTTATGCACAAATCTTAATAAATGTAGACTAAAAGAATGTATGCTAAAAAATTTTTTCAGTTATGTAAGTTTATTAGTATTATTTTAACAAAATATCTCTGAATAAATTGTCTTTGCCAATAAAAACTCATATTTTTATATGACAGAGAACAGTTCTTCTGTCATAAAATTATTCTTCTTTCCTGAAGGAGAATAATTTGTATACAAAAATACACAAGTAAACACAAAAAGTATGCATAAAGCAAATACAAACAACAAACTGTATTTAATTCAGGAAGTATTATGTCTAATAGTTATCTGAGTAACAAACTACAGTTAGAACATGTGAAACTTTTTTTATAATAATTATAATTGTGAAATCATTTACAATAAAATTTTGTTTACAAAAAGTACAGTACAATGATAAAATTTAAAGTGTTTATAAAAATCAGTTTTTTACTATTTTCACTGTTTAACTGCTATTAAGATTTTTTCTTTGTTTAAATTTTTCTAAAATTTCATAAAAGATTTTGATTGTTTTATTGAATGATTTCTATTACAATATTTTTAAATTTCTAATATAAAAATAAAAGATAAATAAAAGATTGCCATAAAAGATTATAAAAGATAAATATAAAAATGCCATTAAAAGATTCCATGGTAATATTTCTTTAGAAACATTCAGAGCGTTTCCTATACTATCTGCTGGTTTAGGAGGACATCAAAATTTTACTCATGGCAATGGGTTTCAAATCCATTTAGTTGACAATAAAATTACAGCTACAGTTGTGAGCATTTATGGAAGATACAATGTTGCAATGGAGAAGCCATCAGTGACCCCCTATACACTTACTCTTGTCTGGTCAAAGCAAAGTTTAAAGTTTTTTTATAACAATGAATTAAAAGATTTTGGAAATCTTTTAAAAAATGTAAATTACCAAAACTATACTCAATTTAATGAGTATATTCTTGTTTTTGCTGACTATTACAATGTTGAATCTGAGCTTCAAGCAAAATTATTAAAGATACAAATGTGGAACATACCTTTAACAGAAGATGAAATATCCGAAACTTTATTCAATGCTACCCCTAGTAAGCACATAATTTACTAATAAATTTTAGTTGTTAGTATTTTTCTGTAAATTCTACTAATGCTTTCTTGAAAATCTTATTAATATTTTGATAAACTTTTGTTATGTTTTGACAGAGTTATGATTAGTTTTTTTAGTTATTGGGAGGTTTTAAAATTTAAAAAATAAAATTTTCAAAATTAATAGTATGATAAAGTAATAAAATTATACTTAACTAAAGTGTAAGTAACAGAGTGTTAGACACTTGTTATTTACAGAATAATAATGGTAGAAAGATTTTTTTAGATGGTTACAGTTATCCAGAGTCTTTTCTACCTGAAGGATTTACAAATGGGTCAGACTGTTATTGCTCAAATCAAGTGTGTCCCTGTGAAACTCTTGGTAAGCATTTTTTTTTGTATGAAGAGTTCAGTTATAAGTATAAAAAATAGTTTTTAAATTCACTAAGTAATGCTGTTCATAACAAACATCTTGCGATTGTAAGGTTTTTTCTAACTATAAGGATGCTGGATACTCATAATAAAGTTTTTCTATGAAAATGTACCTTATAATAAAGATCCTTTTTACAATGACTCTTTTTACACTCTATACCTATCAGATGCTTTTTTTAATGTATTATATCTATACCTATCAGATGCTTTTTTAAATTTATTATATCTATACCTATCAGATGCTTTTTTTAATGTATTATATCTATACCTATCAGATGCTTTTTTTAATGTATTATATCTATACCTATCAGATGCTTTTTTTAATGTATTATATCTATACCTATCAGATGCTTTTTTTAATGTATTATATCTATACCTATCAGATGCTTTTTTTAATGTATTATATCTATACCTATCAGATGCTTTTTTTAATGTATTATATCTATACCTATCAGATGCTTTTTTTAATGTATTATATCTATACCTATCAGATGCTTTTTTTAATGTATTATATCTATACCTATCAGATGCTTTTTTAATGTATTATATCTATGTATTTAAATTTTGATAAGAGTGTGCCCACAAATTATTTGATATTCTTTTTGCTTCAAAGATACTTATAGAGATAACTTAAATGCAGAAAAATGTTTTTTTTTTAAAAATGATTTCTATGTGAGTATTAAAAAAACTGTGTGTGGTTTATTTGTCTGAGGTTAAAATAATGATGCATAAAAATATGAAGCATTATTTCTATGTCTGAGATTAAAAATAACAATGAACTGTTTGTATTTTACAATTGAAAATAATGATGTGTGGTTTGTATTTAGATTAGTATGTGTATCTTTTAAAGTTAGCTTAGCAGCTTCTAATTTAATATTTTTTAGTTTTGTAACATTAAAAGTTTTATTACATTTGCAATTATGTTTTTCTTTTAACTAAAATAAGAATGTTTAAGCATTAAATAAATGAATAAAAATTTTTTTTTTTTTTAATTCTAAGTTTTTTTAAAACCTTGTTTTATAGCTATGTCTTAAAACAAAATTTATAAAATTTTCTTGAATTTTAACAAAAACTAATAATATTTAGAGACTTCATCAACAGTAGAGATTATTAGCAAACATGCACCATTTGAAATAGTATCTGAAGATGATTTCATTGAAGAAGAATTTTATTTAAATATTATGGATTATACTAATAATTCTTTTCGAATTTATTTTGATATTACTTTTGATCTGCAAAATGTGCAATTTGAAAATGTAAATTTTGTTTCAGCATTGAAGTCTCTTGTACCTGCATGTTATAATGTTGTTATGCAGATCTCAAATAGTTCAGATGAAGTTCAAATGAAATGGTGCATTTCTAGAAACATCACTGAGGTTTTTACAAGCCCTGATCTTACTTCTTTATTAACTCAACTACTTAAGGCAGCATCATATACACCTCCTGTTACAATTTTGCTTAAATTCAATTACTTATTTATTAGTCCTGAAAGTATACTAAGAATTGTTTACAAACCATCAAAACTCGGTATGAAATTTGTTATTTTCAAACTATTTAAAGCTATATAAATGTTAACATGTAAAATTTTTATATTAAATTTTATTTTTCTACAAAAATATTCATTAATTTTAATATTTATCATTTAAGGTGGTTTTATTTATTCAACTGCATCTCAAGTTAGTATAGATGATGTTTTGGAAAAAGTATTAATAAATGTTTCAGGAGGTTGTGTTTCTTTTAAGTTGAAATTTGGTGGTACTGGGTTTGTTGGCCTTGTTGTTATTGGTCATGGGGTAAATGTTAAAAAGAGGCTGGCGTATTTTTATAGACAAGAGGCTCAAGATAAATGGCTTGAAAATTATCTTGATTTGAACTCCGAAAAATTTACCATGGTATTTTTTTTTTAATTTTTTTAAGTTTAATATAATTTTTTATGAGTTAAAAAATTGTTATTTATTTGAGAAATTTATAAGTTTCATTAATTAACACTAGCTTGATTATTTTTTAAATTATTATTAATGAACTGCCAATAAATTATTAATAGTGAAATGCTAGTCAATTATTATTCATCATGTGCTAATAAATTATTGTTAATGGATTTAATATGCCATAAAATTATTATAAATGAAGTGCCAATAAATTGTTATTAACAAAATGCCAACAAATTGATTTTAATGAAAAACCAATAAGTTATTAATAATGGAGTACTGATAAATCATTATTAGTGAAATGCCAAAAAATTGTTATTAATGAAGTGCTAATAAAATCATCAATTTTACTTTGAATTAACATGCTACAAATGTTGCATCATAGTTGCATCATAGTCACAGTGCTTATTATAATTATAATTTTCGACTCTCATAATAATTAATACATTCATTGACAATTCAACAGCATTTTGTTCATTGTCAATTTCTATAATTGTCAATTTTTTATATCTGTTATATTTATTCTTTATCAAATATTTATGAATTATATTCACTTTATAGTATCTAGCTCTTATAAATTTAATTTGAGGTTTTAGAGTTCCTTCGAGGTTTGACTTTAAGGTTTTAGAGTTCATTGAAGATTTAAATTTGAAGTTGTAGAGTTCATTGGGGGTTTGAATTTAAAGTTTTAGAGTTCCTTGGAGTTTGAATTTGAGATTTTAGAGTTTATTGGGTGTTTGAATTTGAGGTTTTAGCGTTCATTGGGGGGTTTAATTGAGAACTGGGGGTTTGATAGCTTCATAATTAGTTTGCTTTATAATTTTTTAATTAAATTTTCTTCATAATATTTTAATAAAATAACTTTTCAAACCTCTAAACATTTTTTTCTTTCATTTTTATTTAAACTTAGCTTTATTTAATAATATATTTTTAATTTAAGATTTATTTCTTTAAACTATAATAGTATTATATTACACTAGCAAATTTAAAAGAAGTAACAATTAAAGTATTTCTATTGTTCTATTTAAGAAAAGTTTAATACAATAACCACACAGACATGGAATTATCAATAGGGTCAAAAAATATATATATTTTTTAATGGTGTTTATATAACTTATTAGATATATTAAGATTTATTTACATAAGTCTTAAAAAATCAAATTTGTTGTGCTAATGCCTTTCATGTAAAATTGCTTGTTTTAATTCAATCAGAACAAGCTGAGAATCAGCTAAGGCTGGTCCATTTTCATTGAGAAGACCTCCAGTAGCAGCAAATTTTTTTTACTTTGACTTAGTGTTTCAAGGCTTTTGGCAGTAACTTGGCAACAACTTGATTGAGAAACATTCACAACTCAGTAATGCTTAAAATGCTAAAGACAATTTCAGCAATAAAGATAATTTCAGCAAATTATTGAACAAATTCAAAACAAAATTTAAAGATAAACAAAAAAAAAAAAAAAAATGCTATTTTGACATCAAGAAGAAAAAACTTTGCTATAAAAAGTGGGCTAACTATAAAAAATTAAGGGAATTTTCAAATATTTTATTTTGTTGCCAATTTTTAATGAAATTTAGGGAAATTTAGTTTCTTAAACTTTTTTTTTAATGATTTTTTTCAATTTTTATTCAAAAACAGGTTGAGTTTATTGCCTATAAAAATGGACTTGGAAGTGGTTATGTTGCTTTTGACAAAGTGCTGTTTTTACAGAGTTGTCCAATTGGGAAAGCAAAATCAGCAGGTTATAAATAGTGTTATAAATTAAATAATATAAAATGATATATTACTTTCATTTATGAAATATTAAAAAAAAAAAAATTCATATAAAAAAAATTAGCTCAATTTAACAAAAGTACTAATTGATTTACTGTTTGTAATCTATCAAGTATCAGAATTTAAGTAATTTAAGTAAATCAACTAAACTGAAGAAAAAAAATAATTATTAAATTAAAATATACTCAAAGTTATTCCTGCATTAACAAAATTTCCTGTCTCAGTTTTACTAAATATTTTACATGTGTGTGGTTACCAAAACAATTATATAAAATCTTTCTTTATAATCGTGTCTTATTATTAATTTTACTTTTTTTAGATTTTATTGGTTCTCTTTAGGTTTTATTGGTTCAATTTAAAAATTGTTTTTATTGCAGGTAGTATTGAACCAGATAAAGCTTATTCTTTTTCAAATCCTGTTGTGATGGTAACTGACACTTATGAATTTTATACAGCTTTAAAAAATGCTTCTATTAATCAAGGTTCAATTGGAACATTGCTAAATTTTTTTAATAGTTATAATTTTTTGGCTTATCATCAACACATGACATTTAAATATTGGCCTATCTATGACTTTACAATTCTCTTTTGGTTTAAATACGTGAAATTTCCTGATTTCATCTTCAACATGACTTATACTCCTGGTAATGCTATTTCAGTTGGTTTTAATACTTCATCTTCTGTGTTGTAAGTAAATTTTTGTTTGAGTATATGTATTAGGGTAGTTGAAAAAACAACAACTTTTTTAAATGTTATATTACACACCCTAAATTTATGTTCACACACCCTAAACCTACACGCATGTGTTGCAACTTTTTTTGCTTCTTTTTTTGATACAATTTTTTCAGATAAAGAAGAAAAAACAAAGATTAATGAAATAAATAACTACTGCTCCTTTGCAATCCCTTTATTGATGTAGCGACACTCCTTGTATACCTATTTAGTCTATGTATGCTCTGAAACCCTGCCAGCCCCCTACATACACAATGTATATATATATATATATATATATATATATATATATATATATATATATATATATATATATATATATATATATATATATATATATATATATATATATATATATATATATATATATATATCAATCCTTGGAATTAAGGTCGGCATTTGGCAATGCTGACCTAACTGCCGACCTTGTTTCTATGTTTTACGGTCAGACCTTTGTATCAAATAGTTTTTGCCGACCTTATGCGGAACTGATGCTGAACTCAAAAAGATTGAGGTCAGCAAATTATTGCCGACCTCATTTTTTCTAATTCCAAGGGTTGATATATATATATATATGTATATATATATATATATATATATATATATATATATATATATATATATATATATATATATATATATATATATATATATAAATATATATATATATGCATATATATATATATACATACGCACAAGTCTCGGATTTAGGGTCAGCAATATATATATATATATATATATATATATATATAATATATATATATATGTATATATATATATACATATATATATATATATATATGTATATATATATATATATATATATATATATATATATATATATATATATATATATAATATATATATATGCATATATATATACATACACACAAGTCTCGGATTTAAAGTCAGCAATATATATATATATATATATATATATATATGCATATATATATACATATATATATATATATATATATATATATATATATATATATATATATATATATATATATATATATATATATATATATATATATATATGTACAAACTAAGGTCTTATTAAATTTTTAGTTTAAGTTATAAAAAACTCAAAAAGAATATTGGTGTGGAGAGTTTATTATGGCATCATTTGGTTATTCAGTATGAAAGACAAAGCTATCAGCTTTCTATTCAAATAGATTTCAAAGCAGTATAGCACCTTAACTGTTTACATTTTATTTATATTTGAGTTTAATTAAACTTAATTAAATTTATTTTAGGAAGTTATGTAAATAATTAATAATCATCAAATTAAGTTAATAGTTTAGACTTTTAAGTTTAAAAAATGATTCCATATTTTATATTGAGTTTAGAAGGTAACTTTTAATGATGTTCAGCTTTCTGGCAACTCCTCTATTTCTTTCTGGCTTTCTTACAACATAATTTGCTTTCAAGTTTACAAAGAAATTTTGTTTCCTTCTGCAATTAAAGCTGTTCAATTTTGTCCTATAAAACAATGTAAGTATTTATGCAATTTATGTGAAATTAAAACATTAATTATTTTATATTTAAATATAATGAATATATTTTTTAGCACTAGAGACTTTGTATCTTTTTTAGCACTAAAGGCCTTTCAAAAAATCATCAGACTGATGATTTTTTGAAAGGCCTCTATATATTTTATTATGGATTTAACTATGTTAAAAATGTATATACTTAATAGTAACAATAAAAGAAATAATTATTTCATATGCAGTGTTAATATGTTTGGCTACTACTCTATTTATATTGGTTATAAACACATTTAAAATTTATATATATATATATATATATATATATATATATATATATATATATATATATATATATATATATATATATATATATATATATATATATATATATATATATATATATATAATACCAAAGATTTTATGGTGGTAAAAAATTTCTCAAAAAATGTATTTTTTTAAAATAGTTTCCAAGTTTTTTTTTGGTAATATTCCTAGTCAAATTTTTTTAAAACTTTTTAATTACAAAAAGGACATTTTGTAGATAATCTACATTTCTAGTAGCCGCAATAAAGTCTTGAGTGAGCTTAATGTTTCTTTTTGCACCATCATTAACAACAGATATGTTGTTGATCTATACAATAAAAGCAACTGAGGATGGTTAAAAATATCTATAGTGTTGAGACTATTATTGAGCCATTCTTTTATACTTGCCCTTTATATGTTAAAATGTTATAAGAGAAGGTAGCTTTGCTCAAAAATCAGTTCAGGTAGCTTTGTGGTCTTTCCAATTTGTACATATGATGATTTACGCTGAAATTCCTCTGGCTCTTCAAACTTAACTAGAGCTTGCAGTATTTGTAGCTTTGTTTTAGCTGGAACTTTTTCATCCCCTAAAGACATGGCTCAGAGTTAGGGATTTAAGTACCAGGTATAGCGTCCCAGGTATAGCGATTTAAGTACCAGGTATAGCTTTTTCAAAGCACAGGCTGTCTGGATAGCTTTGAAATTATTTTAGTGGGCCTGGAACCCTAAAAAATATTTTAAGAATTATGGAAAATAGCAAATTGCAATGAAAAAATTTCCATCTTTCATCTGCAGCACCTCCTTTGTCAAGATATTGTTGTATAAGTAAGGATGTACATAGCATCTAATAAAAACCTTGCCTCAAGCCAGGTGCCAGGTTGATAGAACTTAAAATCTTGTATTTCTGCTAAAGAACATATTTGCTATTCTCATCCAGTAATCTCCTACTGTAGTCTCCATCAACTTTTGTTTCCATATATCTTTTTAGAAATACTAATATATGTATATATATATATATATATATATATATATATATATATATATATATATATATATATATATATATATATATATATATATATATATATATATATATATATATATATATATATATATACATAAATATATACATAAAGCTCTAGCTAAATGTTGCAAGTTGCATACAGTCAGATATAATTCAATGGTTTATTGGTTTGAGTTTATTTTCAGAATCTTTGTAGTAAATAACAAATGGATGTAGTGTTGCTTGGCTATCATTCCAATGAAATCCTTGGATTGCGTCTTGTGCTATAAAACTATAATTTTTGGCAAAATCAAGCAAAATAATAATTTAGTTTTGTTGAAGAAATAAAATGGTGTGATCACAAGTTTCCAATTGTAGAAACAATTTCTTCAAGAAACTCATGTTGCCACTCAATCTGGAAAACCCAGAAATAACATGAATCCCAGGGAAAACATGGAAAACTCAGAGATTTTCAAAATTTTTTATATAATTCAGGGAAAACTCGGGGAAAATAATTTTTATTTGAAATTTTGTACAATAATTTTTTTTTCAAAATATTTTGCTAATACATATGATAATAAATATAAAGATTGCGTTTATGTAAAGAAAAAAATAATCTTGTTGATAAACCAGAAAGAATAAAAAAGTCAGGGAAAACTCAGTGAACTTAAAAAGTTCAACTCAGGGGAAAATGTTCTTTACTCAGAGAATACTCAGGGAAAACTCGAGGAAAAACTTTAAAAATTATAGTAGCAACCTTGAAACTCCTCTAAACGGATTTTCTTCTTTTTTTTACCACTGTTTGTATGACACTATATCCTTATATTCAAAACCATTTTGATTGAAGATATCACTTATATACTGTTGTAAGTTCTCTACGCTAGGGCAGTTATCACAATTATGAAGCATGCAGCTACAATTCTGAATGTCATGTGCTATTTTTGATAAAAGTTCTCTATTCTTCAATGTTACTAGCACTGCATAAGTAATCAACTTTGAACTTTGGCTTACTTGACATACGCAAACTGAATGCACACCAAACACTATCTACTATTATACACCATTTAGGATAAAGCTGACAAAACTTTAAAAATCCTATTTTCCCTCCTGTTTTTCAAAATTCTAAATGTAGCTCTTTTTAATTTACAATTAATCATTTTTGGCTATATGTTTTTGACCATAGATTTTAACTGAAACAAATTCTTTCTTACCAGAACGAATCCAAAAATATTTATCACTCTGATAAAAAATTTTCATATTTGTTTCAAGTGCTTATGGTATCTTACTTCTAGTAATTTTTTTATTATGTTATCTTACTTCTATTAATTTTTGAGTTTATCATTTATTTTACTACAAAAATAAATGATAACTCATTTAACTGTACAAAATTTCAAAGCACCATTACAAGTAGTTTTTAAGTAATTTATTGCAGCATACTAAAAAATGGCATTCTGAGAGAAAACCAGTTCAAGATTGTTAAAATAAAAAAAAATAAGTTAAAATGTTAAAACAATTTTTTTTTTACTTCTAAAAATTTGCTATCACTCCTCAATATAAGAACAGTAGCCTAATTTTATAAAAGCGCTACTCAAAACTTATAAAAGTTTTTTATAAGCTATTTAAGTTCGATACAGGAACTAATATTCATATTTAGAAAAACTTAAAGTTTTTAAAATTATGAATAAAAATTGGAAGATTGGAAGATTGAATTAAACTAAAATCACTAAAAACATCATAAGTTGTTCCATCTTTTTCTTTATCTTAATCAACATTTTCATTTTGTTCTAATTTGTTTCCAATTTTAGTTTAATTTACCACTTGATTTTTTTGCTATATTTTTGATTTTTTTGCTATATAATTTAATTTTTTAACTTTTTGATTGCAAAATGTTAAATAATTTTTACCAGGGTAATTAGTTCTAAATAAACATTTAGTTTACCACATTATCTTTCAGACACCATTCCCAAATTTTTGCATTTAAAATTTTTTTATGGTTTTGAGTTTTTTTATGAAGGCACCTTTCTAACATGTTTTCATCAGATAAATCAATAAATATTGAATTAATTAGGTCCATAATTACAACAGGTTGTCCTGGTTTTTCTATATAAACATATGTTTCAACAATATTGTCTGCTTGGAATTTGCACCAGGTAATAACAACACATTAAATGTCTTAACTCTGAAAACGATGCCTCAAATTCACAAAACCACTGCTTTTGTAATGTTATTTTCCAATATTAGCCATTGCAATTACTAAATATAAATTTATATCAGAAATTTTATTGGAAACATTTTTATTGGTATAGAATTTTATGTTCCAAAAACACTTAGTGCAATTGAATAGCAATAAAGAACTTAAACCTTTTTTTATTTTTATGAGTTATATTTATGTTATTAGACTTCATCTCACAGTCAAGGCAAACAAAGGTAATTTGTATAATTAGGTAAGATTGTATAATGACATCAACATCAATTAAAACATTAACAGACTCATTTCGATTACTGTGAGGTTGTGGAATAGCTTCATCATTAACAATAAGATTGTTGATTGAGATTGTTAAGTTAGGGGAAAAATGATGATTTTTTATTACAAAAGCATCTATATTTCAAGAAAAAAACTGATAATCTTGATTTTCTTCATCCTTTTTTTTTTTGAAACTCTAGAAGCACAAGTTTTTCTTCTCCTCAAAGCATCAGTTTTTATATTTTACAATTAGAAATAATCAATTTATTTTATTCTACTCTAAAAAAAAAGAATAACAAAGAAGTATATTCTCCAACTATATTTAAAATCATTCACTAAAAAAGATAACATTAACTTTTAATCTATATGTAACAAGAAATTAAGTAACATTTTAACGCAGTAAAGTGGTTTGTTTACACAGTTTTTATGGCAAAAAAAGCCAAATTATCAGTACTTTCTAAAACCTTACTTTAGAAAATTATTTCTCAAGCAGTTTAATAAGAATTAATATACGATGTATATAAGGTATATAACACTTAAGCACCTAATTTAAAATAAGGTACAAAAGTGTATTGCTAAGGAACACTACACTATAGTACTTTATTTTAAATAAAAATTCAAATCATTTATACCATACCTTTATATTTTATATTTTTGAACACCTGGAATTATATTAGCCAAATAACAAATATGACTTCACTATTTACAAGAATATATATATATATATATATATATATATATATATATATATATATATATATATATACAGGGCCGCCAAGAGTATTTATGGTACACAGGGCATAGAATTGAGTTGGCGCCCCTTTAAAGATACATTATTTAAAAAAAAACTTTATCATTAGCAATCTTGCATATATATGAGTGCACATGGTTTTAAAATGAATTTTCTTAATTGTGGTTTATTTCTGTTAAAATCATTTTACGGCAATATTTTCAAACATTGCGTCTTTAAAAAAATACAACTAAGCAACACAAATACAACATAAATGCATTATTAGACATTCTTTAGAGATTCAAATAAGAAAATACGGCTTATATAAAACACTCTTTTCTTGCCTTTTTACCGGCAAAATTTGTTATTATAACATCATATGATGAGTTTTAGCTATTTCATTTTCCACTGAAAGTATCATGAGATCCAAAAAACGTTCTTGTCTCATAGTGGTCCTACAAAATTTCTTTATCAATTTCAGTTTACTGAAGGATCTACCACTCT